AACAGGAAATACATTAACAGCATATACCTATGGGAACCCTATAAGCACATGAGACCCAAGGACAAATCAGACAATTGAGGTTTATATGCCATCCTAAGCTAAGGAATGGGAGAGGAGTATTGAGCTTCAAATGGGAGGAGGGTGATTCAGAGGATGATAAGAGCCGATGTTTTGTAATTAGATGTTTGCCCTGCCATACAGATAGGTCACTCAGATAAACCATATCTCTGGTAATAGCTCTCTCTCTCTCTGCGCCAGACCCCCTATCTAAATTCTTTTGGGTAGTAAAGAGAGAGATAAAGCTTTTCTTGGTCTGCTGGTCTTGTCTTCAGCTCAAGACAATCTACATGCCAAAGTGGCATATTTGAGGGTCACGTACTTTGCTCCCCTTCAAGCCACAATATTCAGAGAGAAATTTGTTGTTAAGCTTGAAGCTGCACTTTCAGTTGCATGAGGTATATGGCATCAGTACATGAAATCACCTGAGTGACGTGGAAATCTACACATAAATCTATAATCTTCTGAAGATTTTACTTTAAAATAAAATATTCATATAGGAGTTGAAAATAATGGCTATTTAAAGAAGAGTGATCCTATTAGCAGCTGACTAAAACAAAGCAACTCATTTATCAATGCATCTTTACCAGGTACCACTGTAGTCACATATTCAACCATCAGAAAAATACGCTTTCAAATTCATCTTTGTCAGGTTTGAGCAATTTGGTTTTTTTTTTTAAGTTTGTTTATTTATTTATCATTTTGAGAGAGAGAGAGAGTGGGGGAGGGACAGGGAGAGAGAGAATCCCAAGCAGGCTCCCCACTCTCAACACCACAGAGCCCAATGTGGAGCTCAAACCCACAGAACTCAAGATCAGGACCTGAGCTGAAATCAAGAGTTGGATGCTTAACTGACTGAGCCAGCCAGGTGCCCCGGTCCTCTTTTCTTATATATATATATATTTGTAAAGTTGTTTGGGGCTGGGGGGGGAGTGGGGGTTGGTTTTTTGTTTGTTTGTCTTTTGTAATTTCTACACACAACATGGGGCTCAAATGCTCTTCCAACTGAGCCAGCCAGAAGTCCCCTCTCTTATATTATTACATCTTTTTCCCTTTAAAAAAAAATGTTTATTCATTAATCTTGAGAGAGAGAGAGTGGCGGAGGGCAGAGAGGGTGAGAAGGAATCCCAAGCAGGCTCCGCGCTGTCAGTGCAGCGTTGGACGCAGGGCTCCATCTCACATATAGTGACATCATGACCTGAGCTGAAATCAAGAATCAGATGCTTAGCCGACTGAGCTACCCAGGTGCCCTTTAATACATCCTTTTCTTAATGTCTGTTTCCCTGTAAAATTCATGTAGCCCCAGTGCCCACCATATAAGCTACTCTCCTTTATATACTTATATCGACATATTTTTATCACTACACAGTATGTGTTTCTTCAGCTCCTTAAAGACAGGAACAATGGCTTCCTTATCTTTGCTTCCCCAGCATCCGGCACAGTGATCAATACATTTTTGTTGAATGAATGGAGTAGTGAATTTGACAAACATTTACAGAGTAGCTACTATATGCCAAATACTATTTATGGCCCAGAGACACAGAGCAATGAAAAAAATCTGCAGAATCTTTCTCCTCCTGGAACTTACAGAGGAATGAATGAATAGATAAATGCATGAAATAAGCACTTCTAAATCCTTTACCTCTATTAGAATACCATTCTGAAAATTCCCAATGTATTTGCGTGTTCACAAATAGATTGTTTGCAACTCAATATTTTTTCCATAATAATGATGACAAGATAGTTATTAGGTATCAGTTGTCTAAAACACTATACTAAAAAAGAATAGAAATAAATTATAAATATAATCATTAAGAGTAAGGAAACAAAATTTTATTTAATGAAGTGTACAAAGTTTCTGTTAAGTCTTAGGAAACATAATGCTTAACAAATATTCTTGAATAATAATAGGGAACCAATTGTGCTTAGATTGACTTTTCTTTTTCCATCATATCTATCATCTCCCCTCCAAAACTCTCAATTTTTTCTTGAATATATCTATACTTTCCACCACACCCAGAAATCTGACATTTTGATTTTAACTTACTAGATTTGTAATGGCATTGTTTAAGTTTCTATTTCAAACTTAAGTCCTAAGCTGAAATACAAGATGCGATGCTTTTGTAATCTCCTTTTTCATTTTGATCTGTTTTATCATCTGTAAACTGGGTTCTTTTATTGAATATGAACTTGTACTACATTTATCTATAGTACAATGCACTCATAGAAAGAATTCTTCTCTTCATGGGTATTTTTCTTCTAGCCTGGGTTCTTCCTCTGTCTTTTGAATGCCATGTTCCATTTTTGTATTATTATTACTATTATTATTAGTTTTGCTGCAATGATTGACATAATTTTTATGCTCATTTTACTCCTGCCTAATCTAGGAAGCTGTCTCCAGACCTATTATTAGCTTACCATCGCTCAGTAGAACGTCTAGGGAAAATAAAATTATGTTTTGTTTCATTCATTTCATTTGTTTTAGGGATGGGATAGTGTGATACTGTGATATAATACAAAATACTTATGTGGCACAAAGCTCCTAAAACACTTGTAATACCCCTAAGTGATAAAAGTCATAGAAGCATCTTTTGCTATAATATTTGGGTTTTTTTCCAGCTCCTGATACAGCTACAGAGTATTAAAGGTGAAAGGAGAATCTTCTGGTATTCATAACAAGCCCTTTTCAACCCCACCTGAGTTTATGTTAATGAGGTGACTTTTAGAAAGCCCCTAAGGATGGAGGCTGTCAAAGGAACCAACCACATGTTAGAGAGTTGAAACTTTTAGCCCCACCCCTTGACCTCTAAGGTTTGGGGAGAGGCTGGAGATCACCAATGACCAATGATGTAATCATCCGTGTCTACATAATGAGACTGCATTAAAAACTCAAACTGAGGAAGAGAGCTCCCAGGGGTGCCTGGGTGGCTCAGTCGGTTTAGCATCCAACTCTTGGTTTCAACTCAGGTCATCATTACATGGTTTGTGGGCCTTCTTGGGATATCTCTCTCCCTCTCTCTGCCCCTTCACCCACTCATGCACGAACTCTCTTTCTCTCAAAATAAATAAGGTATCTTTAAAAAAAAAAAAAAAAAAAAAAAAAAGGAAGGGAGCTTCCAGGTTGCTGAGCACATCAAAGTGCTGGAAGAGTGCAATGGCTGGGGAGGACTTGGTCGTTCCCTTCGCCCAGTCCTCGTCCTATGCATCGCTTCAGTTCAGCTGGATCTGAGATGTAGGTTCTCATAATAAACTTTTAATCTAGTAAGTAAGTGTTTTCCTGGGTTCTGTGAGTCACTCTGGCAAATTATCGAGCCTGAGGTTAGGGTGTGGGAACCCTAGATTTTTACCGAGTCAATCAGAAGCACTGGCGAAAACCTGGACTTTCAATTAACATGTGAAACTGGGGGAGTGGGACAGTCTTGTGGGACTGAGTTCTTAACCTGTGGCGTCTGCACTAACCCCAGGCTGTTCGTGTCAGAATTGCTTGGTGCTGAAAACCCATACATTTGATGTCAGAAGTGTTGGTGTGAGCAGTAAAGAAAAACTATTTTTCCCATTTAGTGGGTGTCCAGAGATCAGAGAATTGGTCGGTGGTGTGGGAAAACATCCCAGAGAAAGAATCTATAATTTGGCTTTATTCTACCATATTTACCCTAACTTTCTGATACTTTTCTTTAAAACATATATATATATGTACAGATATATATATATATATATCTGTACATATATATAAAACAAAGGCTAGAAATGTGCCTTCTTTATAATTATTTAAATTTCCTTGCAATGGAAATAAATTTGTAACATCACTGAGCAAGAGGGATGGCAGGAAGATGGCAGGTGTTGTTTCTTCTTTTTTTAAGTTTATTTATTTATTTTGAGAGAGAGAATGCGAGCAGGGGACGGCAGAGAGAGAGAGAGAGAGAGGGAGGGAGAGAGAGAGAATCCCAAGCAGGCTCTGCATGTGTCAGCACAGAGCCGATTCAGGACTCGAACCCCCAAACCATGAGATCAAGACCTGAGCTGAAACCGAGAGTCGCACACTTAACCAACTGAGCCACCCAGGCGCCCCCACAGGTGTTGTTTATTAAATAAGTTCAATGACTTCTTCAAACACTTTTTCATTGTGACTGTTTTGAGAGGCATCATCTTAGCAATCACCTCTCTCTTTCCTTATTGTCCCCCCACCTTTTCAAAAGACTTCATCATTCATAGGCTATTCTTTCCCTTCCCATTTGTAAAGTAAGAAAAAAACTGTACATTTCAGCTATTTGTGACTTCTCATTCTTTCCTCTCTTTGATAATTATCAAAGACACTCTGAATTAGTAATATATTGCAGCGTAATAAACCATCCCAAAATTTAGTGGCTTAAAACAACAGCAGTTTATTTCGTTGAAGCAGTTTGGGTAAGGCTCCATAACCAGTCCCTGCTCCATTCAAGCTGAGCCTGAATCATGTAAGTGTGCACTTACTCACATCTGTAGTTGATGCTGGCTGTCAGCTGGGACCATCTGTCAGAACACCTACCTGTGGCCTCTCTGTAGCTGCGTGGCTTCTTCACAGCATGGTGGCTGGGTTCCAAGAAATAAGAAGTCAAAGACAAGGGTGCCTGGGTGGCTCAGTCGATTGAGCGTCCGACTTTGGCTCAGGTCATGATCTCATGGCTCGTGAGTCGGGGTCCTGCATCGGGCTCTGTGCTGACAGTTCAGAGCCTGGAGCCTGTTTCAGATTCTGTGTCTCCCTTTCTCTCTGCCCCTCCCTGACTCACGCGCGCACCGCACTCTCTCTCTCTCTCTCTCAAAAATAAATAAACATTCAAAAAAAAATTTTAAAAACAGAGGTCAAAGACATAAGTTTTTGGTTTTTCGTTTGTTTTGTTTTTTTTCAAGTAAGCCCTACTTGCAACATGGGGCTCTAACTTATGCCCCTGCAATAAAGAGTTGTATGCTCTACCGACTGAGCCAGCCAGGCACCCCAAAGACATCAGATTTTTAAGACCTGGGCTTATAAACTGGCATAGACATACTGTGAATTCGGCCATAATCTATTGGGCCCAGATTCAAGGAGTGGAAATTTGACCCCATCTCTCTATGAGAGGCATGTCGAATAATTTTAAAGTCTGATTTAAAACTGTGTACATTCTCTGAAACATATCACCTTGTCTTTTCACTGTATTGTCTCTGTGTTAAAATAAAGGTGACATTGAACATTTCCTTCCATGGATACCTGGGTCTGCGTGAATCATGGCTGCTGACTTCACTCATCTAACACTCTCCTTGCCCACTGAAGACAGTTGCACACCTGAATTATAGAGATCACAAAAACCAGGGTCAAGAGGAAAGGCTTAATACACTTTTCGAGTCCACTCTCCTTGCCAGGTCAAGGGGAGGCTTTGGGCAAGCTAAAGGAGTTGACAATTGCATCATCAGAAGAGATGAAGGGGTAAGTTGGAAGCTGGAGGAAACCCCAGGCAGTGATGTACAATTGTAACATTGAATCGTGCTATGTTTCTGGGACATACTGCAGTTGGAAGTGGGCCATGCTGCCAGTGAGGAGCTGAGACATGACCTGGGGAGGGACCAGCAGAAGGCAATCAGACAAAGTCATGCTGACTGGCGTCACTCCGAGCAAGGGTTACTCCTTTTTCTCCCAGCCTTACCCCAGCATCACCTGCAGGCGAAAGTCATTTGTTCATCATATATGCCTGTTCAACATATATGCCTGTGATGGGGGGTCTAGAACATGTTCCCCCCAAAATAGGACCCGTTGGCATACTGAATATTTTAAGCTGAAGAAATTTGAGAAATAGCATGTGCAGGAGTAACTTTCTGATCTTCTCCTGAAACAGGAAATAAAACCCTCATATGAGAGGTGCCCTCCCTATACCCAGAGGAAAGGAGCTCTCTCATCACCAAACGTGAAGGGACACAGAAAGTATCTGCACAAACATTCTTGCTAAGTTTTTGCCAGTTTATTACACTTACCTCATAACCTTTGTCCCATCATCTTCCCACGATTCTTCATCAAACCTAGTATAAACGCAGGCAGGTTTGATCATTTCTTTAGGTATTCATTTCTTTTTTTTTTTTAATTTTTTTTTCAGTGTTTATTTATTTTTGGGACAGAGAGAGACAGTGCATGAACGGGGGAGGGGCAGAGAGAGAGGGAGACACAGAATCGGAAACAGGCTCCAGGCTCCAAGCCATCAGCCCAGAGCCTGACGCGGGGCTCCAACTCACGGACCGCGAGATCGTGACCTGGCTGAAGTCGGACACTTAACCGACTGCGCCACCCAGGCGCCCCAGGTATTCATTTCTTTATGAAGGCTCCTGCATCACGTAAAGTTTATATTAAATAAATATGTATGCTCTTCTCTTGTTAATCTGTCTTTTGTTACAGAAGTGCCAGTTGAAAACTTAGAAGGGTAAAGAAAAAGGTAAAGAAAGGTAAACAAAAAAAATTTTTTCCCTCCTCTGCACCTGCCAGTGACAGTACATGCCACATATTAAGAAATTGTCTGGTGCTTGTCTGTAACCCTGTCTGCTCCATGAGCCCAAATTCCTGCTCTGTTATTCTCTCCATGCTGCCTACTGCCCTCCAACACACACACACACACACACACACACACACACACACACACATCTCTTAAAACCTGATATACAACTTCTTCTATCCAGTACCTGCTAGACTCGATGCCCAGGACCGCACACACATGGTCTGACCCTCTCTTCTCCTTCCCTCTTCTACCCCAGCTTTGACCTCCAACCTTTACTGAGTTTCAGTTGATCTTACCACCCCCACCCAGAGCTGTTCCAACCTTCTGTGAACCTACACTCCTAGCTCCCTAGTTTGCTTGCAGCTGCTCTGTGGAGCATACCCTTGACCTTTCTGAGAGTCATGCTCACAGGACCACCACTAGGCTAAGCAGTGTGGAAGGCAAAGGACACAGGATCTCTTGACACAATCCCACTGAAATGCTCCAGATCTTCACAATCTGAACGGTGCCTACATTTTTGCATCGTCTCAATCTAATTATAGCTCTCCAGGCAAGACTTCCCCAATATGGTTGGTGCACAGTACAAGAGGCTCCCCTAACAAGAACTCTAGGAAACTTCTCCATCCCCTGACCATTTTACCCTCTCTTGTGTATGAGGCTTTGGGTTCTCAGCTAGAGGGTGGAGCAGAGGAACTGTGGCCCTTTTGCCAATCTTTACCTTGACTAATCTGCCTCACTGTTTTGCCCCAAGTGATTGCAGGTCCAATTTCTCACTTTTAAAGTTGCTCCAAACTCGGGTAAATAGAGCTGCCTAGTTTGGGGCCTTTTAATGTTGGAGGAGCAGGTGGGGGTCTCATTGGCCTGCTCAACATTTTAGTAATAGTGTAGTATTATGACCTGTGTTTTAAGCCTATCAATATCAGTTTTATTAACTCCTGTTTAAATAACCATCTAACAATTTTCACCCTGATGGGATGAGTCCTATGACTGTCTTTCTTCCTTTCTTTCTTTTTTTCTCTTTCTTTTTCTTTCTTTCTTTCTTTCTTGCTTTCTTGCTTTCTTTCTTTCTCTTTCTTGCTTTCATCTCTACACCAAACATGGGGCCTAAACTCACGACCCCAAGATCAAAAGTCGCATGCTCTTCTCTGACTGAGCCAGCCAGGTGTTCTGACTGACTTCTTTGTCTCTTTTCTTCACCCCTATCAATATTTCTTTCCTTTATCCACCTTATTTCTTAATAGCCATTTTAAATTTTTCATCTTCCTAAAACCAGCTTTGGACTCTTCCCTCTGCCTCTCCCATTCTGTTGTTAACTAATAGTTTAATAAGCATCTGTAAGACTAATGAGGGGAAGCTTAAGACAGCAAATTCCACAAGGCTTCTAGACTGTTGCTTAGTTATGCAGCACTACTCTTATAATGGGGTGCCCCTGTGAAGGCGGCTCCCTCAAGCACAGCGTTTACCATAACTTGGATAATGGGCATTTTTAGTAAGTGAATATCCTGATTATCATGAAGCCAGTCCTACATGGCTTGCATATGAAACATATCAGCTGCTTCTTCTATGGTGTTCCACTTGCATTTATAGAGACAGTTGGGTAGTCTCCCTTCTCAGGGTAAACAGATCTTACAGTGGCTTTTATCCAGTAAATGAGGCTAGCTGTTCCCTCAGGAACAAGTGTCTGGATCAGGTATACCCATCTGTGATTCTTCATTAGTAGCTGTGGGTCCTGTATGAACCCAGACCTGCTCTTCCATCTACAGCATTCAAAACCAAAGCCACTCCCCATAAATTACTCTGAAAATCCATTTTGATAAAGGGTCTTCAAGAAACTGATGATACCTGACCACAAAATGGCACCCTGCCACCCTATACTCCCTGTTTTCAGTCATTTCCTGCTTTTGCCCCCTTCTAATGTGGACTATCTTATTGGTGGCCAGAGGTCTTAGAGGCACTCTCTGCTGTGCCTGCGTAGTTCTTCCCTCTGAGGGGGGCTTTGAGGCCAGTGGCCTAAGCTCCTATCAAACAGAAATCTGAGCCTGATCTAGCATCAAGGCTCAACTCAGCACTCTGTTTTATTTATTTATTTAAAAAAAAATTTTTTTTTAATTTTTGGGACAGAGAGAGACAGAGCATGAACGGGGGAGGGGCAGAGAGAGAGGGAGACACAGAATCGGAAGCAGGCTCCAGGCTCTGAGCCATCAGCCCAGAGCTCGACGCGGGGCTCGAACTCACGGACCGCAAGATCGTGACCTGGCTGAAGTCGGACGCTTAACCGACTGCGCCACCCAGGCGCCCCAGGATTGCATTTTCTTATGCATCCAGTAAAACAACTCCCAGGGAGCTGTATCCGTCTCTAAACTCATCGGTAACTTTTACCTTTAGCAAATTGCAGCATAGACGGTGCTTCATCCTTTAGGGACCATGTGGACACCTAGGAATCAAATGTTCTTCATCCGCAAACCTTTCATCCTTTCTCTTCCCAAACTTCCAGTTGGCTGGCTCCACACAGTGTCAGGGGTGCAGAGTGACACCAGAAGACTTCTTAATACACTGGCAGGCCTCACTGTCGCTGGTAGGTATAGACTCTTTTTCCTCTACCCTCTGTAGATTCCAAGTATCTTAGAAGCTCTCTGTCGGGAAAGACTAAATATTATAACAAAAAATGCTCCTATCTCGCCTGTCACTCAGGAAATTACAAGGATTTTAGGAGCTCTGTGTCAGGAACTGGAGGCAGAGACCAACTATGTATTTCTTCTTATGTCACAAATGCCTTTAAGAGACCTTTTTAAATGTACCCCTCCAGCTGGACACAGCTCCATAAGCACAAGTGTTGTTGATTAGGTATCATCCTTATGCCAAGGAAAAGGGAGTGAGCAGAAGATGCCCTGAATTTCCAGTCTCGCTGGCCCTCAGCTGGGGCTTCTGTGTAGAGCTATCCAAACTGGTGAGCACATGGTCTCTGCGCTGGGGGGCCAGTCAATTTCCTTAAGCTAGTTGGTGGTTTGCTTAATACCCTTAGGTCAGAAATGGTCTAACCCCTCCCACCCCACTCCCATGTTAGCCCCACTTTTCTACTTCCATTCAGTGAGTGTCTGCCCTGTCTGTCTCCTCCTTACAGACTAAAGGATTGAAAACCCTCATCACTAGATCTTATCAGGGCACAGTTTTCCCTTTTCCCAGCATTCCTTTGAATAGGGCTGCGGCAGGCCTAATGAATACTGTCAGAATTACCCTTGGAGCCTCTAAATTCAGAATACAAAGCCAGAAGCCATCTAAAACAGGATTAACAATATCAAGTATGGAAACATTTGACCTATGAATTCCCAAATTCCAGACCATAAATAGGACTGATCCAAAATATCATGAACTGTAATTCCATGGCATCATTTCAATAGACATGCATAGCTTTTATGTGAGGACAGGATTCTTTGATAAAATATGTCTAAGAAGCTGTGAGCTCAATAAAGCTAAAGCTTCTTTACCGTAGGATCCCTCAGAGCCTTTTTTCTGCCAGTATGGTTGGTGTCTCCAAGAAGGAAAAGGACATGTTCTGTTTCCTAAATTTATATGACCATAGGAACTTTTTGGCAGGGAGCACATCTATGGAGCATATTTTGGGAAACATTAAGGCACAGAGACTTAGACACAGAGGGACTCTGCCTGTAGATGGAGCCAAAGGCTCCAATTCCCACCTAGGTTGGCAGATTTCTGGTAAAACAAGAAAGGTCATTTACATTGCTAATTTCTCCCTATATCTTTAATTATCAACTAATCTTTTTTTTTAACTGATCTTTTTTTTTTTTACTGTTTATTTATTTTTTGAGAGAGAGAGAGAGACAGAGACAGAGTGTGAGCAGGGGAGGGGCAGAGAGAGAGGGAGACACAGAATCTGAAGCAGGCTCCAGGCTCTGAGCTGTTAGTACAGAGCCTGAAGCAGAGCTCAAACTCACAGACCGTGAGATCATGACCTGAGCTGAAGTCAGATGCTTAACCGACTGAGCCACCCAGGCGCCCCTTAACTGATCATTTTTTTAAAAAACAGACTTAATATTTTTAAGATTTCATTTTTAAGTAATCTCTACACCCAACACGGGGCTTGAATCCACAACCCCGAGTTCAAGAGTCACATGCTCCACTGACTAAGCCACACAGGTACCCCCCAAAAAAGACTTAGTTTTTTAGGTTTAGGTTCTTAGCAAATTAAGTGGAAGATACAGAGATTTCCCATATGCCCTCTGTCATCACACAAGCATTGCTTCCTCCATTATCAACATCCCCCACCAGAGTGGCACATTTATGACAACTGATGAGCCTACATTGACACATCATTATCATCCAAAGTCCATAGTTTATATTAGGGTTCACTGTATTGTACTTTCTATGGATTTGGCCAAATGTATAATAACATATGTCCACCAACTGATCATATATATATATGTATATACACACACACACACACACACACACACACACACACATATAAAACATGTGGCTCATACTTCTTTTCTTAAAATTTTTTTAATGTTTCTTTTTGAGGATGGGGAGGGTCAAAGAGAGAGGGAGACAGAAGACCCGAAGTGGGGTCCATACTGACAGCACAGAGCCTGATATAGAGTTCAAACTGATGAACTGTGAGATCGTGATCTGAGCTGAAATCAAGAGTCAGATGCTCAACCGAGCCACCCAGGTGCCCCTGTTTGTTTGTTTTTAGTTATTCATCAAAGTTTAGAGAATATATTGTATCCTTTAAAAGAACTGGATGCTGCTTCCTTTCCAACCAGGGCCTGGCAGAACGGTTCCCACAAAGAAGGGTGGCCAGAAGAAGAAGGGCCATTCCACCATCAACGAGGTAGTGACCAGAGAATATACCACCAATGGTTATCCGCGCTGATATAAGCTTATGCAAGAAGACATATTTCCTGTTACTCATACTAGCATTATTCACAAGCACACCTATGGAGTGGGTTTCAAGAAGACACTCGCAGAGGGGCACCTGGGTGGCTCAGTCAGTTGGGCGTCCGACTTCGGCTCAGGTCATGATCTCACGGTTCGTGGGTTCGAGCCCCGCATCAGGCTCTGTGTTGACAGCTCAGAGCCTGGAGCCTGCTTCGGATTCTGTGTCTCCCTCTCTCTCTGACCCTCCCCTGTTCATGCTCTGTCTCTCTCTGTCTCAAAAATAAATAAACATTAAAAAAAAAATTAAAAAAAAAAAAAGACACTCGCAGAGATCTGGAAATTTGCCATGAAGGGAATGAGGACTCCAGAGGTGCACATTCACACCAGTCAGTGCTCAACAATGCTGTCTGAGCCAAATGAATAAGGAATGTTCCATATTGTATCCATATGCGGTTGTCCAGAAAATGTAAGGAGGATGAAGATTCGCCAAACAAGCTCTTTATGTTAGTTATCTATGTACCTGTCACCACCTTAAAAAATCTACAGACAGTTAATGTGGATGAGAACTAACCAATGATTGTCAAATAAAGGCATAAACTAAAAAAAAAAAAAAAAATTTTTTTTTTTTTTTAAATAGGGGCACCCGGTGGCTCAGTTGGTTGAGAGGCTGACTCTTGATTTCAGCTCAGATCATGATCCCAGGGTTGTGGGATCCAGGCTCACATCAAGCTCAGTGCTGACCATGGAGTCTGCTTGATATTCTCCCTCTCTCTCCCTCTGCCCCTCCTGGCTCATGCATATTCTCTCTCTCTCTCTCTCTCTCTCTCTCTCTCTCTCTCTCTCAAATTAAATAAATAAATGAATAAATGAATGAATGAAGACATAAATACATAATTTAAAAAAAGAACTGGATGCTATTTTTTAAGGTTTATCTACTTATTTTAAGCACCCACACAATGAATGAAAAAAGACCCATTTAAAGGCACATTATTGTGAAATTTAGTACTTCAGTCATTAAAAAATAGTCTAAAAGCTTCCAGAGTGGGAACATATCACAAATAAAAGAATGAGAAAAAAATACTATTGGCCTCTAAGGATGCCTGGGTGGCTCAGTCAGTTAAACGTTCAACTTTGGCTCAGGTCATGATATCGTTGTTTGTGAGTTTGACCCCCATGTTGAGTTCCACGTTGGGCTCTGTGCTGACAGCTCAAAGCCTGGAGCCTGCTTCAGATTCTGTCTCCCTCTCTCTCAAAAATAAATAAACATTAACAAATTATTTCAAAAATAGTGTTGGCCTCTCAAAAAAAAAAGTTGAAATCTGGAAGTTAATGAAGACATACCTTCAAAAAATTCCAAGAAAAAATTATCAACTTAGAATTCTATGCTTAGTGAAACTATTAATCATGTTTGAGGGTAAAGACATTTTTAAGCCTGAATGGTCTCAAAATTTACCTCATGAATCTGCTTTCTCTTTCTACTGGGAGAATGCAGGCAAGTGAGAAAGTAAAACAAAGAAAAAGACCTAGATCCAGTAAACAGGGAACCAATATACGTGATACACAAAGGGATTTTCCAAGATGATAGTAAAGGGAAGTCCCTGCATGACAGCTGTGGGGCAGGCCCGTAAAGCAAACAATCCACATCAAAGGAGAATGGAGGACTTTTCTCCTAGAGAAAATGGATCTGATGCATTAACTGTGAAAGACTGTATTTCTCTGCCACAAATATAGTGGTTCTCCCCATGATGCCCTTCCTTCCAGAGCCCCTTTCTAAGAATATAGATCCCTGCCTCATTATGTCAAGCTTAGCCAAGGACCTATTTGGCTCAGTACATTGTGAGTGAAAGTGATAAATAACTTCATAGTAGAAACACTAAGAGCCAGTCTGCCACATGTCCTTTGCTGCCTGCCACAGACCAGCCATGTTCCACAGAGGATGCTCTTCATTGGGTCTCGGGAGTGAAGACAGTATGCAGCCAACCTGTGGCAGATTTATATCATGAGAAAAACAAACAAACAAACAAACAATGTTGCTCTAGAAAATCACTGGCATTTGGGGGTAATTCGTTATCAGAGCATGACCTAGAATGTGCTGATTGATACTTTCTCTGAAACTTTAAAAAAAATTTAATGTTTATTTATTTTTGAGACAGAGAGAGACAGAGCATGAACAGGGGAGGGTCAGAGAGAGAGGGAGACACAGAATCTGAAGCAGGCTCCAGGCTCTGGGCTGTCAGCACAGAGCCCGACACAAGGCTCAAACTCATCAACTGATGAGATCATGACCTGAGCCAAAGTCAGATGCTCATCCAACTGAGCCACCCAGGCACCCCTCTCTGAAACTTTTCAAGCATGTGGAAAACTGTACTGCCAGGGGAAGAATTAGTGATCAGTATCTACAAAATTAAGCAGTTACATTCATTATTTTAAAAATATTTATTGAATTCTTACTATATGTCAGGGATTCTTTCTGTGCACTAGGAATATAATAAGTAAAAATATTAAAGAGGCAATTACTAATATCAAAAATGATTATAAGAAAGGAATAACACAGCAAAGAAAATCATTAATAAAATGTAATGGCAACACACTGAATGGAAGAAAATATTTGCGAATCATGTATCTGATGAAAGGTTAATAGCCAAAATACATAAAGAGCTCATACAATTCAACAGCAAAAAACAAACAATCCAATTTAAAAATGGGCAGAGGGGCACCTGGATGGCTCAGTTGGTTGGGTGATCGACTTTGGCTCAGGTCATGATCTTGCTGTTCCCAAGTTTGAGCCCCACGTCAGGCTCTGTGCTGACAGCTCAAAGCCTGAGCCTGTTTCGGATTCTGTGTCTCCCGGTCTCTCTTTCTTCCCCTTCCCAGTTTCCTCTCTCTCTCTCAAAAGTAAATAAACATTAAAAAAATAATAAATAAATAAATAAATAAATAAATAAATAAATAAATAAAATGGGCAGAGGATCTGAATCTTTACAAAGAAGATACACAGATGAACAACAGGTACATGAAAAGATGCTCAACATCCCTAATTATCAGGGAAATGCAAATCAAAACTACAATGAGATGTCACTTCGTACCTGTGAGAATGGCTATTATCAAAAAGACAAGAAATGGCAAAGGGAAACATGTGCACTGTTGGTGGAAATGTAAATTTGTACAGCCACTATTTCCTTAAAAAATTGAAAACAGGGGCACCTGGCTGGTTTGGTGGGTAGAGCACGTGACTCTTGATCTTGGGGTTGTGAGTTCAAGCCTTACATTGGGCATAGGGATTACTTTAAAAAAAAATTAGGGGTGCCTGCGTGGCTCTGTTGGTTAAGCACCTCACTCTTGATTTTGGCTCAGGTCATGATCCCACTGTTATGGGATTGAGCCCCCATGTTGGGCTCTGAGCTGAGTGTGGAGCCTGCTTGAGATTCTCTCTCTTTCTCCCTCCGCCCTTCTCCCCAACTTGCATTCTCTCTCTCTCTCTCTCAAAAATAAATAAATAAACATTAAAAAAAAAAAACCCTAACTAAATAAATAAAAATAAAACTAGCAGGAAGGCGATGGGCAAAATGAGTGAAGAGTGTGGGAGGTAAAGGCTTTCAGTTATGGTGTGAATAAGTCACAGAAATAAAGGTGCAGTATAAGGAATATAGTCAACGGTATTGTAATAATGGTTCTGTTGTGACAGATGGTGCAGCTACGCTTACAGGGAGTGCAGCATAAAGTATAATCACTTTATACTTTAAATACTTGTTGAACCACTATGTTATACACCTGAAAATTATGTAACATTGTATGTCAAGTATACTTCAGAAAAACAACAACAACAAAAGGACTACCATATCATCCAGCGGCAATTCCACTTCTGGATATTCATTCAAAGGAAATGAGAACATTAATCCAAAAAGATACCTGTAGGGGTGCCTGGTTGGCTCAGTTGCTAGAGCATGTGACTCCTGTTGTTGGGGTCATGAGTTCTGACCCCATGTTGAGTATAGAACAGCAGCAACAACAACAACAACAATATATATATATATAAAGATACCAGAATATGCATGTTCATTACAGCATTATTTACAATAGCCAAGACATGGAAGCAGCCTAATGGATGGATAAAGAAAATGTGATATATATAATGGACTATTATTCAGCCATAAAAAAAGAACAAAATCTTGCCATTTGTGACAACATGGATGGACCTGGAAGGCATTATGCTAAGTAAAATAAGTCAGAAAGACAAATACCATATGAGTTCACTTGCATGTGGTATCTAGAAAAACAACACCCAAAAAGCCAAACTCATAGATACAGAAAACAGATTTGTGGTTGTCAGAGGTAAGTGATGGGGGCTTATTTATTTTATAACTGGAGAAATTTATACTTTTTAAAAAAAATGTTTCTTTATTTTTGAGAGAGAGAGATAGAGAGTGAACAGGAGAGGGGCAGAGAGAGAGGCAGACACAGAATCTGAACTAAGCTCCAGGCTCTGAGCTGTCAGCACAGAGCCTGATGTGGGGCTCAAACCCACGAACTGTGAGATCATGACTTGAGCTAAAGTTGGACGCTGAACCGACTGAGCCACCAGGCGCCCCAGAAATTTATACTTTTCGATCACCTTCATTCATTTTGCCTACCCCCTACTTCCCTTCCCATATGGTATAATACAATATAACTTCCAGTTATAAAATAAGAAAGCCCTGGGGATGTAACATACAACACAGTAACTATAGTTAATACCGTATCACATATTTGAAAGTTGCTAAGAGAACGGGTCCTTACAAGTTATCATCACAAGGAAAAAAATTTGTTACTGTGTGATGATGAATGTTAACTAGACTTACGTTGATCATTTCATAATGCATACGTATATTGGTCATACTTGTACACCTGAAAATAACACAATGTTATGTCAATTATATATCAAGAAAAAGTTAAAAAGACATAGCCATTAGCCATGGCAGGGCTGCCTTCAAGTGCTTCCCTGCTGCCTCCCTCCCCACTCCCCAGGTATCCATTCATTCATATTAACATTCAGCCACAACCAGGGTGCCTGGGTGGCTGAGCTGGTTAAG